CTGCAGTTGTAATTTGTTCAATAAAGAGAATTTTGTTATTTTTGAGGCTGTTAATTGTAAGATTATTAGGAGTTGTTAGAAGTATATCATAAATTAAATGTGAGTATTCTGGAGAATCTTAGACATGTCTATAAAAGGAATTCTATAGTAAGCTTAGTGTTCATATATATATAAAGAAATGTATATAGTTGGGGTTTGTGTTTGTGTAAATGTCAAATATAGTTTGATTGTGTGCTTAATTGTTTGTTAAATAAATGCTTATGTAATTTAATAGTTGAGTATTTAGTCCTATTTCTAAATACAAGTGCTTATGCTCTTATATGGATTTATCTTGTGTTTATACTGCTTATCCTATTGTGCGCCTAGAAGACACAGTATATCAGTTTGTATTCCTTCAAAGCCAAGCCTCCCTAGGCATACCCGGCGATGAATACCATATTTGAGACTTTCCAAGTAGACTTCCATCATCTGATAATCATCCCCATATGCACCGATCTGTTGGACTTATCATAGGTTTGCACCGCATTTAACCAGCTAGCATTCCTTGTACTTCCCTAGCATACAGGGTTGCACAATACCCCAAATCTTCTAGGTCCTGGTATTGCTGATCCTTGGTATGCCAACGGGTTATAGGCATTTTTCCCCGATGCGGGCAATAGTCACTATAACACAAGATTAAATTCGAAAATCGTCATTTGTAGGATTCGAACTCTCAACCTGCTACTTGGCGGGGTAACAACTAGACCACTTTACTAAGTTACCACACCCTTGGGTATATGTTAGTAGTATTGTTATTTAATATGAATTTTGCAATTATTTTTGCCAACTTTTTATGTTTTTTCAAATAAGTAAATTCAAATATTTCGTTACCAATTTTTACTCTACTGTATATATTAATAGTAAGTAATATTGTTATAAATTCTGGATGCCCAATATGTATTTTAGTTAGGAAAGTAAAATTATTATTATATATTTATTGTAATAGTCAACTAACAATATATATAATTCTTGGGGTTAGAGTCCCGTAGCCTAGTGGTTCAGATGCCTAACCCTCTATAGACAAGGTCGATGATTCAATTACAGCTAGTAGTAATTAATTTAATTAATTATCTCTGTAATCTTCAGGGCTTTTGAATGTGGAACCCTGTAGCAGTAAGACTATGTGAAGTACATATTTGGCCGATAAAGAATTCTTGGAAGGAGTCCCGAGCCATGAAGAAAATCGAACACTGCATGTGACATAGGTCACAGAAGGTAATACTGCAGAAGGCTATGCGTGTAAATCCATGATTGGCAAGGTAGCACCAACAACTCTAAGGTGGCATTGGAATCTTAATTGGAAGGACGGCTGTATACAGTATACCCAGAAGTGGTAAGAGAAGCAGTGAATATAGTAAGGAGCTGTAGTAAAAGAATGGCTTTACCAAATATGGAACATCTCTGGCACAAGGAAACAAGGAAAACCAGCTAAAAGAAATCCCGAAAAGCATAGAAGCAAGCACTCTAATAGTACGAAAATAAAGATGGCCAGTGAGTAATGTGTTATACAACCTATATGGGAGTTATAAGAATATGACAAAACATGGCAGAAGCACGGGTCTCAGGTTATTGGCTTGTGACAGTAATTAAATGAAGTACTAAACTCCTGTCCTAAGGATCTAGACTTCTGTAATACCAACTGATAGGAAGTCTATAAAAAGAGCGGTAGCCTAATTTGGTAGTATACGATGCGAATACCTGGATGATGTAAAATAACACCCTAGTATGGCAGCAGGTGGCTTGAGATACGAGTCTTATGACTTGGCAGCACCTGGCTTGAGATACAGATTAGGTCCTTAAAGTAGCTTCTCAGGGACACCAAACTGGAAGCATGAAGAGCACCCACTTGAAAGACACCAATTTAGAAGTAATATAAGAAACAAATTAGAAGTAATGTAATAAGTGATGAGGGGTAAAAGTTAGTTAGTAAATATTGTACAGTAGTATATAAGTAGGATATATATGATATAATTAGGTTTGGGAACTATCTAGTGATCTAATAATTGGTTTAATTGCAAGGCGGTTACTAAGAAGGTAAAAGTCTTATATAGCAGGTCATACATAGATACCTAAATTGGTAATCGGGTGAGCTAATACATATAAAAAATATAGATAGTTGTAAATGTACTCATGACATTTGTAACCAAAATACCTTAGCATTAATCTAATAAACAGTATTGGCAAGACTGTCGAATTAAAAAAAAAAAATGTATATAATTCTTTCAGAGAGGTTACACAGTTCTTTTTAGGTCCTAATAATTTACCCAGAAAAGGTTCAGAGCCAGTTTCTAAATTTTTTTTAACATTTACAAACATAGAAAAAAACTTCTAATAATTATTTCAATTATAAACAGAAAGACTACTGATCATTGTTTCTTGTTTAATAAACTGCAAACAAGTACACAAGTGGCCTTTTGCACATGATAAAAGAACATCTAAAAGAGAGTTATATTGCAGAATTTTAAGAAGTTCAGTCTCAATTCTTCTGTTACTGCTATAAATTGATCCTATAAATTTATATAAAATCCTATTAAGCTATTGGCAGTTTAATATAGCTATTCATATAAAATATAATATAAATAACAGATTTAAATAAATATTGCAAAGAGGTGTGGCGATTTAGTATAGTGGTTTAGTCGTTATCCTCTCCAAGTGGCAGGTCTAGAGTTCAAATTTCACTAGTGATGATATTTGAAAAATAGACCTGTGTTTGATTAATGGCTATGCTTATTAGTTGAATCTAGAACTAAATTTGTAACTTCGGTTACACCATCTTGTAATGAGAGCTTTGGCGCAATAAATCTAAGGAATTGGTATAACTGAAAACCCATTTGGAAAGTCCCAAATCTGGATATAATAGTAATCTTTGACGGTATTACAAGAGAGCTAAATTCGAACTGGGGTCTGAGATTAGAGAACCAAGCAACTAGGTCTTATAGCAGAGAATACACTAGCTAAACTGCTGGGTTGTCGCACTAGAGGAAAAGAGCATATGCTCCAAAAGTATGAACCAAAGAGAGAGCATCCTTTAGGCACCTAAAGCCTAGACAGATCAACCTTTCTGAGTTGCCAGCTAGAAGTAAGAGAGGGACTGATAAAAAATCTGAGTAAAGAGGGTTTCAAGTATGGGTACTAGGGTTGTTGTGAACTGTTAAGAGCAATAGGTATGTAATAGAAAACTAATTAGAAAGGTTGTGGCTTGAGATATGAATTGGGTTATAGCAGTGTTCTAAAGGGTAGCTTGAGATACAGACTTGGTGTTGGCAGCACAACAGGTACTAACTAGGAAGATATTACAGAACATGCAGGTAAATACATGTGTGGGACATGTACCGCTTTGTTGGGCTTACCTTTAAGGATAGTAAAGTATCCTAAGTTGGCTATTTATATAGTAGTGTCGCAAAACCTACGTTTGAGTAGTGAGTTACACCCACATTAAGATGGGTGTCAGGCCAAATATATTAAGACCAGAAGGTTTAAATAGGTATCTCAGTGCAAGTATGGCAGATAGTGTAGAACTTTCAGGCAGGACCCCGAATAATTTTAATAGAGGTAGAAGTATTAAACAAAACAGAAATTTTTAAATTTTTTTATAAGGTTATATATTTAAAAAGGCTTTTTCTCTAAACCTACAATGCTAAAACCGAAATTGGTAGAATAAAAAGCAATATTTAAAATGGACATAATATTAATCTGTAGTTATAAAAATAGATATTTTGTACAGGAATGCTATTTAAAATTTGGTCTGCATTAGGTTTAGTGCAAGCCAAAATTTGAAATTATGTTACTAGTTATTACAACTATATAAAATTCAAAATTTGATTGGCAGATTAGATTTGTAATAAAATATTGTACATACTATGGTCATGATATTTTAAATTTTTTTATTACTGAAAACTTTGTTGTATCAAAAGCTTAATTGTAGTCGAAAGTTTTGTTTAGTAAAAAGCTTCACTTAGTAAAAGATTTGCCTAATAAAAAGTTTTGTCTAGTCAAGAGTTTTGTCTAGTCAAAGAATTTTAACTGGTTAAAAAGTTTCATCTAGCCACTTTTGCCTAGTCAAAAGTTTCACCTGGTTAAAAGTTTTGTTTAGTAAAAATCAAAGTTAGAAGTTTGCCATTGCTATAACTAGAAGTTTCACTATAGCTAAAAGTTTTGCTAATTTTATCATAATTAAGAATTTTTAAAGATTCACTTCAGCCAAGATTAGTTTGATTAAAGACTTTGTTATATTCAAGCTTGCTAATGGATTTACTACCTAATTTTGTTGAGTCTTTACAATCTGATAGTGAATTTTTAAATCTTGAAGATTATTATGAAACATCTGACAACTATGAAACAACTGATAATGAGTATTCAAGCCCAGTAGTTTCAAGCAAACAAATATTAAAAAAAAAGCAAATTTGTGGTATGAATTTAGAGACTATTTTAAAAAAAGATATAAATAGCACTTACAACTTTTATAAGTCTGAAAATTGGTTTTTGCTAATAGCATCTGCTATATTAGTATATAACTACCTTATTTTGTAATTTTAGCAAGCAGAGCTAGCTAATTATCCTGATATACTAGAAATATTAAATTTATTATGTGTGCATTGTAAAGATTGTAAAAAACAAATTAAATTAAAAAAAAATTATGAGAAATTATAAATTGAATCTCATGCTTCTAGTAGTTTATATATTAAAAACTAAGGATTTTGAGATTTAAAAGAATTTTTTTCAAACTCTAATTCTCAAAATGAACCACTATTTTATAGAAGTTATCTGTGCTCTGGTTTATATAAAGAAAAACATCTCATATATATTAAATAAGTTGGTGGTTTTACAATTTTTGGGGGAGCTCCACTTATTAAAAAAGTAGTACAAGAACTTTTTCCAAAAAAGTTTACAAAAAAGGCAAAATTTTCTTATAATAAACTTACTTTAGATCAATTAAAAAGACTTAACGATGAATTATTAGCAAGATCTAAGTAGAAGATAGACCAAAAATGCTTATGCATATCAGTTACACGATTTGTCATACTATTTACATGTAAATTTTTTTTTTTTTTGGTATTAAGGTGATCTCTTTGGTCTGGGGAACTTTTTATTAGAGTATAGACGAAGTTTTATAT